GAAGCTCTACATTCAAGGTACACGTGCAAACAGCCATAGGGAAATTAATATGTCAGTCAATGGAAAACATATTTCCTAAATCATAACTTGCATTTCACTCCACATTTAACACATTACAAAATATGCACGTGATTTTTGCCGTAGTTTATGAACTGCATTTTCAGTACTCGACACCAGCGGTATACTTACAGAGAGATATATACTTTTGCCTCCAAAACAACAGACTTAGCTACAAAAAGTTTGACCAAAATTTGCGTGCATACACGTTTTACAAGTTTTGATGTATCATCATTATACACCAATGTTCCGGTCCAGGAAGCAATAGAAGTTTACATGGAGTTACTCTATTCTGGAAAATACACTGGAACATCAGTGGATCAGGATACATTTCGACAGCTTCTGGAAATCTGTATAGCTGCAATGTTTTAATGTTGACAAACGAGGGGTATTACTATTAGCAATAGGAACTCCACCAGCTCCACTGTTGGCTAATGGTTAGATGAGTAAATTTGATACAGTAATTAAGGATAAAGCTAAGTTATATTTTAGATATATGGATGATATCTTACGTGACATAAAGCGGGATGATGTTCATTGCAAACTCGAAGAAATAAACAACTTGCATCCTTCTCGCAAATTTACTTGTCAACGCGAAATTAATGAATCTATTACATTCCTTGACATGCGGATTTGTCGTTCGAGAGGAGAAATTACGTCGACATGGTACACAAAATCGACGGACACTAGTTTACCCATGAACTATCATGCATTGGCGCCACAAAGAAACAAAAAATCGGTAATTTCAGGTTTAGTGCACAGAATACACTCGGCGTGTAGTACATGGGAGAATTTTCATCAGAGTCTATAGTGAAGGCAAATAGGGTAGTGGAGGATAACCAGTACCCCCCTTCCTTCTACGAGCCAATTATCGAAAGAACGTTGTCTAAAATTATTAGCAACAGCTTGGAGCACCAAGATGTAGAAAAGGAAGATATGTCAGGAGTGAAGTTAGTATTTGTGCAATACAGAGGTCGAATTGCGGAAAGATTTGAACAATCTTTAAGAAGATGTGAAGCACCATATAAGGTTGTGTCCACCCTGCGCAAGCTTAAGTCAGTATTACCGTCGTTGAAAACGCCTGTGGAGAAAGCCGTTAAATGCGGAGTTGCATGTGTATAAAATAAAGTGTTCACGATGTGAATCGTGTTATGTCGGGCAAAACAAGTCGTCATTTACTCAACCGTATTAAGGAGCATCGGAATAAGAGAACTCCTGTGAGAATTCACTTTGAATCATGTAATTGCACTCTGACATTGGATGATGTAAGCATATTAGCAAGATCAGTAAGATCAGTGACACTCTTGTAATGACTTTACAAGTGTTGTGGATAAATTCTATCAAACCATCCTTAAATACTAAGGATGAGTATACAAGCCGCACGCTGGTTATTAAGTTGTAGATTGGCCTACTGTTTATATGTAATGCGTAAATTTCAAAGGATGTATGAACTTGGACAATCGAACAATTAGTCAACAAGTAATAATTCTTAATATTTAATTAGGTTTTTAGTTAGGTTATTATGGTAAGAATATTTAATGGTTTGCCGTTTGTACGCTAGTTATTTTAGACCTGAAGATGGTACTTTGATACGGAAATATATTGTCAATTTTAATAGTTATTGGCTTATTTTTAAAAGTTCATGCAATAAACTAGCTTTATTTATACTGGATAGCTCTATTAATCAGTTCTAAACTGTTCTTCCTAGAGGTCCAGTAAGGATCATCTCTTATTGATCCAGTGTTACTACAGATGGAAACCTAAACTAAACTAAGTTTATTTATAATGGATTGCACTATCAGTTCTAAATTGTTCTTCTTAGAGATCCAGCAAGGATGATCTATTATTGATCCAGTGTTACTACAGGAAGAAACCTAAACTAAACTAACTTTATTTATATTGGATAGCACTATCAGTTCTAAACTGTTCTTCCTAGAGGTCCAGCAAGGATCATCTCTTATTGATCCAGTGTTACTACAGGAGGAAACCTAAACTAAACTAACTTTATTTATACTGGATAGCTCTATCAGTTATAAACAGTTCTTCCTAGAGGTCCAGCAAGGATCATCTCTTATTGATCCAGTGTTACTACAGGAGGAAACCTAAACTAAACTAACTTTATTTATACTGGATAGCACTATCAGTTCTAAACTGTTCTTCCTAGAGTTCCAGTAAGGGTCATCTCTTATTGATCCAGTGTTACTATAGGTGAAAACCTAAACTAAACTAGGATCATCACAAAGGATCATCACTTTTTCATCCAGTGTTAAAACCCACACTCAAAGTATTTTCAAACTCATTGTTGTTTAGCGTAGCCGCAATTTTCCCTTTCCTAAACGATCGTTGCCAACAAGAACGGCGCGTTTTCAATCTCTTCAAGATGGTGGACTAAAATTGCTTGGCTGTTTTACTTTGGCTTATTTCATAATTTCAAGTCTAATAGCATGCATTCAGTTCATGTTACTATGCTAAACCTCCACGGAGAGTGGTTAAAAAAGCGAATGAATATGATGAAATTGCTTCCCGTCTCAGAAGCAAGTTTTTGGTCATTTAGTCATTTTAATTCAAGAAAGAGCGAGCATAAAGTGAACCCAAAGCAAATACGCGGAATTGTTTTTAAATTCCGCCAAATTAACATAGTTGATATGTACGCGCGCATAAATTATTGTTATTCGAGCCCTGCGATCGTTTGGAAGCACTCATATTACTAGGAAATGCGCATGCTCAACGCCTGGCGCTATCAAATTTCCTTTGTTTTAGCGTTTACGTGTGGACGGGCAAAAACGATTCAAAATACGCTTCGTGTGGACGAAAAAACCTCCGTTTTTAAAAATATCCGGATACGTGTGGACAGGGTCTTAATATAATTTCAGACCATCAACGATGTTTCTTTAAAGGTAAAGATGGAAAGAAACAGACGAAGGGATTTTTAATTTAAAACACTATAGATGCCATCACTACACTAGAAATTGGTTCACTAGAAGTTAGGGTTTTTGGAGTTAACAATTGGCAGATCCGTTGGAGGGGGGGGGGGGTAGGGGCGGTTGTTGATCTTTCCTAGCCTAAGTTCCTGAGTTGAATTTTAGTTTCTCTCATAGTCATACAGGCCTAAAAATGGTTTTTGTGGGTGGAAGCAAGAGGGCATGATTTTAGAGAAGTCACGAGTGCAAATTTTATCACTGATTTTAATAAAAATTGTCCAACTTCAAGATTTAAATATTGGTCCCCCAACCTTGTATGCTTATTCTTTCAGACACAAGCCTGCTCTGTTAAAAATAATAAAAACCTACTGAACTGCAAAATGGATAGGTAAAAATTTAGAAGAAGTTTAACACAACTGACCCTAGATAAATTTAATTGTTTTAACTAATAATATTTTGAATTGCCTGCAGACTTAATTGTCCTGGTTAAAAAAAAAATATTGTAATGGAATATAAATTAAAAATGTCAACTACATGTACAAATATTGTGCAGTCAGTACCAGTGATGTTGCTGTTTCTTGTGTCTTTGCATGCTGCCTTTTGTGCTGAATCCTGAGTGACATATTTCGTATTCTAGCTTTATACTTGCATGCACTACTTGATGCCTCTTTAGATTGCGCTTGTTGGCAAAACACTTGTCACAATCATCACACTTGTATGCTTGTGTATGCACCAAACTGATATGGCTGTTCAGTAAATGCAGGTTTTGGAAGGACTGACCACAGTCTTCTCAGCACAGCAACCCTTCTTGTCCAACCGAAAATCCTTATCACGGCTAATTGTCGGTTGCAATTTGGACAGTTTTGTTTTTCCTCCAATAGTCCCATATCTCAATCCTCACGTTTTTTCTAGGCTTCCAGCCTCCAATCCTGTGAATGATAAAATAATATTGTGTGATTAATAACTGCCATACTTAAACTGGGGGGGGAGTAAAACCCACAAGCATTAAACATCTGATACCTTGTCTTTGTTTTGCAAGCTAAAACCTTTTCATCACTTACTTTTTTTTTTTCTCTCCCAATGTCTCTCCACGACTTGGAAGCTACTGTGCAAACTTTTCCAATATGAGAGTCCTTGCTGGGCTTGTCCTTAATAGCTGGCTATTGTAAAACATTATATAGGTATATTGTTTGTGAAATTACATTCATTGCTAAAGTAAAGTATCATATTTCATGGTAGTCTAAGGTTAAGGACAACATCATTGCTAGAAACGACTTGTGTTATGTACCTAAACTTTTTCTAACAGACCAAATGATTTCGCTGGCTGACGCATAATTTATATAATGCATGAATAAAATCAACTATATATGACTAGCCGCAACTTCTTGATAGAAAATATTCCAGCCACTTGGCTTTTTTATTCATTTTTTTTCTGCCGCCATTTCTTTAAATACGCACAAATTGTGAGTGTTGTCTTTCGAGTGGATACTTAGGGAAACAAGGGGATATGATGTTGGCATCGACTGTTCATGTTGGCAACGACCGTTTACGAAAGGGAAAATTGCAGCGGAGCCCTGATTGGCTCTAATTTTCTACCATTGCCAGGGAAACCGTTTAATGGGGTCGATGAACCTCTCCAAGCAATGGGTTTCAAAACGATTCCAGCGTCGCTATTCTCTCCATCGTCACTCGGAACTTTTTGATTACGTTTCGCTTTCTTCTTCTTCTTTCGTTTCTTCTTAGTTACTGCTTGGTTTTCACTCTCGTTTAGTTGATGAATATTTTCTGACAGAGGTTCTTCGATTATATCTTCGGTATTCCGTTCATTAACCTTGTAAAAGTACTTAAATTCTCTCTTCTAGCCTGTGAAAATATATCTTTAATTTTACATGTAATCGTCCTTCTCTATCTATCCACACATAATCATATTTTTTAGTTAATTTTTGCATATAGTTAAAAATTCCAGTCATTAAACACACTAAATGTTAATACTAATACTAATGCTAATTAAAGTTTTGTTTATCACGACCCCAATCTACTTGGGGCCTTTATTACACGCCCAAAGCGGGAATACTTTACATTCTGCCCGCCTTGACACTTAGTGTCTAAATTCGGTACATTGCCTAATTTTTTTCTTTGGACAGCTTGCTTTTGAATTTTCTGATCGCATATCTCCGGGGCAATCTCTAAACTTTGACTCTGTTCTACTTTCTCCATATTTCTCAAGTCTTCCTCTACGCTGCGAGCTTCTTCCAATAAATATAACTTCTGTACCGATCGTCGCCTTTGCCCTGACTTAGTCTGTAGCGTAGCTGTACGAATGAGGCCATCTTTTCCCATGTGTACCTCTTGAACAATAGCTAATGGCCAATTTCCGCGTTTGACATTGTCCTCTGACATCAACACAACATCTCCAACCTTTAACGGTGGTTTCTCTTCCAACCACTTTTGGCGAATCGTCAGTTGTGGTAAATATTCCGTCAGCCACCTCCGCCAGAAACGGTTAATTAAACTTTGTCGATACAAAAATCTTGACGATACTGGTGGTATGGGACTTGACCCAATTGTTACATCTGGGATAGCTTTCAAGCTCCGTCCTAATGCCAAGTGTGCTGGTGTGATAGTTTGACCGTCTTTAATATCATCACCGATAAACGTGAGAGGTCTCGAGTTGATAACTGCTTCAATGTCGGTTAAAACAGTATACATTTCAGTATAGGTCAACAGAGCTTTCCCCAAGATTTTTCTAAGAGGTTCTTTCAGCGAACGACAGATTCGTTCCCACCAACCACCACGATGAGGACTTCTTTCTATTATGAATTTCCACTTGATTCCTTTTAAGGATGTCTCTCTTTGTAGTTGAGAAGGGTCTAATTTCTTCCATACTTTATTCATTTTCTGACTTGAAGCTTCGAACAACCACTGGATATCTTTTTCAGCTTTCTTAAACGTAGTTTGGTTATCTGACCACAACGTATTGCATAGTCCTCGACGGTTATACATCCGACGTAAGGCTTGAAGAAATTCTTCTGTTGTCATGTCGTTCGTTAATTCCAAGTGCACCATCCGGGTGGTAGCGCAGGAAAATATACAAACGTACGCCTTTTGAAGACTTTTATCTGATTTCTTTTGTGACTTCAGAATCAAGTGTCCTGTGAAATCAATCCCCACGTGTGTGAAAGCTGGAGAATAGGTAACTCGCTCAGCAGGTAAGGGTGCCATCTGCTGCTGGACTGGTCCAATTCGGAATTTTCGGCAGACGCGACAGGTATTGATTGCTCGTTTAACTGCACGACGACCGCGAAGAATCCAAAACGTTTCTCGGAGAATAGCCAAAGTTGTTTCTGGACCTGCATGTAAGGCTTGGGTTTCGTGAGAATGAATAATTATCTTGTCCACGACTGGGTGTTTTGCGGGTAAGATGATTTGATGCTTCGTCTCTTCTGGTAACTCAGAAAACTGTAGGCGACCTCCGACTCGTATTAGCTTATCGTTTTCGTCAAAATAAGGGTTCAGCTTGCGAATGGGACTCTTTGAAGGTAGTCCATCTTTCTTCTGTAATTGGCGCCATTCTTCAACAAAACTCGCCTTCTGTATCTCTTGGTACCAATACGTTTGAGCTTCTTTGATTTCTTCAGCGGTGATTTCTGGGGTTTGATTAATGGTTTTCGTCAACTCGCCCCGTTTCAATAATCCTTTGAACAAAGCTACGGCTCTAAATACGAATACTGTTATCCGGACTAGCTTAATCCAACGTCCGGATCTTTCTACATCAATGCATGGCGACGGAAAGGTGGATACCGCTGTATTACAAACCACTTTCGGATTACTTTCTGGACATTCCGGCAATTCATTGTCGACTATATTAATGGGCCATTCACCCGGGGGCCTATAAAGCCACTGTGGCCCATTCCACCAAGGGGAATAGTTTGCCAAATTTTCTAATGTCTCTCCACGCGTTACAAAATCAGCAGGATTTGTGTCTCCGGGACAAAATCGCCAACACTCTGGATCAGTGTTCTGTTGGATCGCTTGAACCCGGTTTGCCACAAATACCTTCCAGGTATAGCTGGGTCTACGGATCCAGCTCAATGTTATTGTGCTGTCTGACCAACAGATATACTGATTGATCCTTTTTCCTAAGACTTTAAGAAGGAATGTGATCATCTTTGACAACAAATACGCCGCCATCAATTCCAATCTTGGTAATGTAATTCTTTTCGTAGGCGCAACTCTTGTCTTCGCGAATAGGAGTTGTACTTGCACATTCCCGGTAGAATCTTGAAGACGAAGATAGATAACAGCTCCGTAGGCACTCGGGCTTGCGTCGCTAAAGCCATGAAGCTGGACACTGACTATTTCAAGGCCAAGGCCTGTCAGAAAGGAACGACTGATGCGAATGAGATTTAAATGTTCAAGTTCTTCTTTCCACTTTTGCCATTCATTTTTGATTTCTTCATCAAGTAAATCATCCCACGACGCACCACGAATCCATAGCTTCTGATAAAGGATTTTGGCTCGAATTTTGAAAGGACTGAGAAATCCCAGTGGGTCGAAGAGTTTGGAGGATATACTAATGATACTTCGTTTCGTCTCAGGTGTTTGTAATAATTTATCTCCTTGGTGAAATAAGAACACGTCATCAACGGTGTCCCAGGATAGTCCGAGAGCTTTCAAAGGGTCAGAATCGTTATCAAGGCACACCAACCGACTACTCGCTCTTTGATCAGCGGGAATATAGGACAACAACGACTTAGAATTCGTTGCCCATTTTAACAGATCAAAACCGCCAATCTTCATCATCTCCACCAAATCGCTATAAAGTTTACGGCCCATTGTTTCAGTTTCGCATCCGGTTAAACAATCATCTACGTACGTATCTTCTTTGATAACTCGAGCTGCTTCAGGGTATACCACTTTACATTGGTCAGCATGATGGTGCATTGTTGCTATCGCTTCATACGGGCTGCTCACGTCGCCAAACGGGAGTCTCGTCATACAATATGTTTTTATTTCTGAATTGGGATCCATATCTCTCCAAAGGAAACGATGTGCGTTCTGATCTTCGGGAGCTATTTTGATTTGTAAAAACATCTTACGAACGTCCGCCATCATTCCAATACGATGACATCTGAAGCGGATCAACAACGACACCAAATCAGGTTGCAGTGCTGGACCAGGGAGAAGGCAATCGTTTAAGGATACTCCTTCTAGCCCTTTCGCAGACGCATCAAATACGGCTCTACATTTCGTTGTAGATTTTTCCTCTCTGAATACGGGATGATGTGGGAGATAATGAATTCTATAAGCTTTGTCATCTTCTGTTGTTATTAGTCTGGCATGACCATCGTTTATATATTGATTAATAGAATCTTTATACATCCGTGCATGTTCGGGCTGTTCTTTAGTTTCGCTTCAACATTTGCGAGTCGCTTCAGAGCAAGTCCTCGGTTGCTCGATAACTTGGGACAATCTTCCTTCCAGGGCAGCGACACTTCGTCCCTTTGCCCATCAAACTTCACATTGTCCTCGAATCGTTGAGCGACGTATTTTTCCTCGGCACTTTGAATTTTAGGAGCTTCGGTCACGCCGATTGCTTCCAGGTTCCAGAATTTCTTTAAAACAAAATTGGGATCATCTTCAAGGATCTTGGTTGTGGCATGGTGGGTCGATGCATTACAAGATTTAGACCGCTCGACACCAGTAGGACCTGAGAGGAGCCAACCAAAAACCGAATTCATGGCCATTGGACTCTGAGAATCTCCTCTCCTGATACCACCTTTCATAATTTGGGACCACTGGTCGGCGCCAAGTAGGATATCGATCGTCGCCCCGCTTCGTGGATCTGTATCTGCCAACGCCAAGCCTTTTAGGTGAGGGTATCGTTTCAAATCAACGGCTGCGGGTTCTGGTGGTGAGCAAACTGTGGGAACTGCCCATGCATGAAGGCTAATGTTTTTTCTTTGGTTACGTGTTGACAATTGGAAATTGGCCTTCTTCACTCTAGTTGTTCTTGACTGGCCACCGTGCATCAGTATGGTCATTGTCTTTGTAGAATCACTCGTGCCCAATCCCAACGCGTCAACAATTTCTCCCCGAATATATGACTGATCACTTCCGCTGTCGACCAAAACACGCACAGGTAATGTGACGTCTCGACAAACTAGATTGACCATCGCGGTAGGTAGTAACGTCACTTGATTATCTATCGAAGTCGACACATAACCACTAGCAATTCCTGTACGGACGGTAATTTCGTCATCTTTTGAGTCTTTGTTTTGAGAATCTTTATTTTGGGAATCTTTGTTGATCGAAGAACTGCGGTGGAGTAAACTGTGATGCTTCCTTTTGCATCCTTCCATCGAACATCCAGGACGTCTACAATTCACACTATAGTGACTCGGCGACGTAGGCAACAGGCAATTAAAACAAAGTCCTGCGTCTTTAACGATATTTAATCTGTCATCGATTGAGTTTTTTGTAAATGAAAAACACTTTGCTATGTGGTGTCCCTTACCGCAGTTCGCACATTGCAGTTCGCTAGACATATTGGGAGTATCCTTTCCTTTTAAATCCGCGTTCAATGCTGTAGCTGAGAAAGGCGGTTGATTGTTCTCTTCCATCCTTTCCTCTCTTCTCTGTCTTCTCCAATTTTTGAAAACCGCATCCTTTCGGGGTCCTTTTTGATTTTTACTGGAAGACATTATTGGTTTCAATACTGACTTTTCAGTTGCTTCTTCTGACATAACATGAGATCTCAGAAAGTCAAAGAGATACTCCACAGTAACTTGGCGATCATCTTCTTCGTTTTCGAGCTTGGAAAGTTGGAACTCCCACTTTCGACGAATTTCGTCTGGAAACTTTGACTGGAGAATTGGAACCAGAATACGTTGTGCTTCCGCAAGCTTTGGTTCATACGCCTCCAAAGTACGGTATCGACTAACCATGATGTCATACAAATTTCTTAGAGACCATGCTTCGACCTTGTCTTTCTTCTCAATATTTAGTAAGGATTCTATTAGATGTTCAACTACTAGTCGCTTTCTGCCATATCTTCTTTGAAGTGCCTCGATAGCTTTAGGGTAGTTCTCTCCAGATATCTCGATATATTCGATCGCCCTTTTCGCTGTCCCTTTGACATACATTCGAAGATAATTAAAGCGATCACGATCAGTCAGTGTCTCGTTTTCGTGAATACAGATTTTATACTGATCCCACCAAGAAACCCATTGTAGGATATCTCCTGTAAACTCATTCAACGTAAACTTTGGAAGGCGTAAATGGCTTGACACAGGGTTAAAGCTGCTAGTAGTGGAAAATTGTTTCTTAGACATTTCTTCTTCCGCTTGTATGGAAATTTGTTGCTCCGCTAACATCGTAATTTCCAAAATTTCTTGTTGAAATAACTCCCACTTTCGAACCTCGTCATTCACCAAATCTTCATTCGGGAGAATAGTTATCAATTCTTGAATAATACGGCTGTATTCTTTTTCTTGAAAATCTAAACGTTCTAGTGCTTTACCCAGCCGACCTTGTGATTTCTCATCTGTCATCAACTTTTGCATTTCATGCATAAGTACTCCGATTGATGTACGGACAAATTTTTGCTTTCGCACTAACTGACTAATTCGTTCGTCATTGCAATAACTCGTCTTATTATACGGTGTAGATGTCTCTAGTTGCGGACTTTTCTCAACAACAGGGGACTTGCTTGCGTTATTTTGAGTCTCGGTCAAAACCTTCAAAAAAGCTTGTTGACAATCGGCTAAATGTTTAGCTAGTCGTGTGTCTAATATTTGTTCTACACGTTGATCGATTTCTTCTGTAAATAATTTTGTTCCGTCGAGCTTCGCTTCAAATGTTTGGGTTGGTATATTTACTGTTTCTTGTGCAGCGACCTGTGTCGAAGAGGCTTCTCCTTCAATATTTTGCACCGTCGCTAATTCAGCTTGAGCTTTTGCCGCTTGCCGGGTAATCATTTTCTTCGACGAGTTTGCTTTCGATACAGATTCCATCGCCAGTTGTTGGCGTTTGTACTTAAACAGCCTTTGCGTACAAGAAGTCCTCGTACCGGTAATAGGCAAACTATAAAGCTCTAGTTCATTGCGAACGTCGGCGAATGTCATGGCATGAACCGCTTGATATAACTCTTTCTCGCCCTCGTTCATCGTCGACATCTTCTCTTAATTTCAACTATAACTTCCTTAGTCAAAACCATTTCCTGCTGCCATGTAAAAGTACTTAAATTCTCTCTTCTAGCCTGTGAAAATATATCTTTAATTTTACATGTAATCGTCCTTCTCTATCTATCCACACATAATCATATTTTTTAGTTAATTTTTGCATATAGTTAAAAAATGTCACAGTCATTAAACACACTAAATGTTAATACTAATACTAATGCTAATTAAAGTTTTGTTTATCACGACCCCAATCTACTTGGGGCCTTTATTACACGCCCAAAGCGGGAATACTTTACAAACCTGATTACAAGAGATGTTATTAGTTTAGAACTGATAGAGCTATCCAATATAAATAAAGTTAGTTTAGTTAAAATACAATTCACCACGTTTTGTGACTCAGGTTGTTCCACATTTTCGTCAACATTTTCCACATTCTCTTCCTCAAATTCTAATTTTTTTTGTTCCGTTTCCCTTCGTTTTCGAGAGACCCTTTACCCTTGGTAACACCTTAACAACAAGTCGTTTTCAAAAGTGTTACTTTTTTGGTAACCGACGAGTGTTTGAAATCGTATTTCAAGAAAAAAGTTTCAATTTTCTGAATTATTGTAAAAATTGAACTTACATTTCCAAAAACAACGCCTTCGTCATCAGAATCGACAGTCTCTTAATTTTTGCGGCTTCCTTTTCTCGTTCGGCGCGTTCTCTAAAATATGAAATGAAAGCGTGAAATAGCCGAAGGACAACAGAATACATAGGCAGGGTAGTTATGGACATAGATATACAAGAAAGGGTGGAAAGATGATGTAAAATCGGCATGATGTAGGGACATATGTACACAATTTGAGTGTGTAGGGATGGATATTTGGATACAACTAAAGGTGTAGAGATGGATATTTGGATACAACTGAAGTGTGGAGATGGAGATTTCAATACAACTAAAATGTGGGGATGGATATTTGGATACAACTATATGTCGCTGAATTTCTGAAGCATTTCAAGAGATCTTTGACAAGGACTATCAACGGCATAGCATTCGCAAGCGCCCCGAAGGAACACACGACGAATATTGACAGGTATCTAACATCAGTTTCCTCAGAGAGAGGCGGCATATTGCACGCGCGATAGAGCAACTTCGATGAAATTAAACAGGGATGACAATATTTTGGATATATATATATTATAATATATATATTATATTATATATATATATATATTATATATATATATATATATATATTAATATCATTATTATTTTAAATCGTGCAGCTTTTTCTAGTTCATAAACACAGTTTAATAATTGAGCGGTGTTTTTTTATCAATAAGCCCGAGTTTCATGCAATTTCCTGAATGCATTATATAAATATGTATTGAATTGAAATTTGTCTATTAAAAAAACTTCGTGATGCATCGGAAATGACGCGTGATATATTCGACCCATATTGAATTTGACACTGTCAGAATAAAAACGAATATAGCTTGAAATATATATGTATATAGGTCAATAATAATAATATGTTTTAATAATTTAACACTTATATATAGCCCTATTAACAATGACAGATCAATAGCGCTTAACACGGTATGTTCAATAAGAAATCTTACAACTAGTATATGCAAGATAAATTACAAATGTAAGATAAGAACAGAGTAGGTCTATACATTACTTACATGTTCACTCCACTTCACTTTAGTGTTAATGTGTATTTTAAGGCGGTAATGCCGAGTATAAGTGAGCTAGGGTAATCAATTACGATTTTGTGGCGCTTCACTCGATGTAGGCAAATTCTAAACGTTTTTAAAGGTTTTAATTTCGAGTGGAATCATACACAACATTAAAACAACTCATTCTGTTAGTCCAGACAGTAAAAATTGCAAGGATTGCATGAAGATTTTCAATACGCCTTGAACCAATGAATAAACTTTCTCCTTCGCAAAACGCCACAAAGGAAACTCCTAATTTCCACAACGAAACACAAGCAATATCGTTTTGCGATAGTTTTTCAGTCGTATGAAATAGATGAGAGGGTTTATGGCGAAATTTAGACACAACAATGTCATCAATGAACCGTAAACAAAGTTTACCCCAGTCTTCGAAATCTGATCGGTAACAACCTGACCGTAGATGGCAACTGGAGTGAGACACCCAACGGCAATAACTGTAATGAGAATCACAGTTCGCATAAACCTTTCTTCACCCGCAACACGAAGCCTATGACCATACCTCGCTTCGTTGGTGCCTTGGAGTGTTTTAACTTGCCGTTTCAAGGCCAAACAAGCCAGAAAATACATGATTACAATCATCACGATGATTCCAGTTAAAATCCCGTATTTATACGCAATATATTCCTCGTTTGGTCTCGTTGCAATAACGAAATACAAAGGGATCGCTACGCTTAAAAGCCAAATCGCCATAATCCAAACGGCAGCTTTCTTCCCGCTCATCAAAAAACGGTGTTTAAATGGGTGAGCGACCATCGTGTAACGATCCAAAGATATGGAAAGGATTGTCAAAATCGACCCGTAGAAAAATGTGTAAGACATTAGACGCGAGAGCGGTTTCAGCGAAGAGAATGTTCCAAAAGTCACCTGCAGTAAAACCCCAAAATCGCAAACCGCTAGATTTCCAACGAGATATGTCGACGAGTTCCGAAAGCATTTCAAAGGATCTTTTATGAGACAAACCAGAAGCAGAACTTGGGATATCGCTCCAGTTAAACACACGATATATACAGGCAGAAAGGCAGGGTTGTACCCGGCGAGAATGCTATCGACTGGCATGAGATCTTCAGAAGAAAAATATCAGAATTTTCAAAAGAAAGACATAATTATGTGAGCACAACCCGGTTGTTGTTCGCCTTAACGACCGCTTTCCAAGTGCTTTGTTTATTTAAGAAAACTTTAATATCAGTAATGAATTATTAAAATATGACTCGCACTTGCAACTTGCAATGCAATACTAGTTTTAAGAGATGTAAATTAGTACAGAGTTTTCAAAATGTAAGTGAAAGAAACGTACATGGAGTACAATAAACATAAAAGTTTCGTAGTTGCCAAATTTGGATCTCTTAAAAGTAGAATTTCATTGTAAGTTGCAAGAAAAATTGCACCGTGTAACATGACCTTTAGTATTTGCGAATTTCATTTTCGCAGTAATTTTGTAATTATTTAATTCTAATATATATGAAACTTTCTAAATACCGTTTTAAAGACGTTGCGAGGTAAACAGCGATTCTTTAGCAATGAAAATGTATTTTATAAATGCCTTCTACGAAACCATGGCTATTTTAAAAAGATATTTAGAGTTATTTTAGTGACTAGTTACGAATGCATTGATGTATAAGAGCTCTTACGTGAACATCCGTAACTAATTCACTTGTTCACATCTGTCAAAAGGAGAAAACCGCAGCAAAAACCGCAGGTTAAACATTGCCAGAGTTCACTGATCTTAAACCAGTTTGTTTACAATGCATATATCCGTCTGATGACAAACTTTTCCCTAACCTTTCTTCCCGATTTTTTCTAACCCTTTCCAAGCGCTCAGCCCTCGTCTTCTTCTCAGCCTCTTTCTAAATTAAAAACAAGCAACGTTCTATGTAAGACTACGTTTACACTACTCCGGATCCGTCTGAAAACGGCGCAAATCGTATCAAAACGGGGTTGCGTTTACACAGCACCGTAGCGGATTTGTTCGAAAACGTCACCTTTGCCGTAGCGACACGACGACACTTTCTAAATGTGGTCGAACGAAAACGAAGCGCTACATGGCGTTGTGTAAACACTACACCGTTAATATTTCGCTACACTTTAGATACCACTCCGCTACAATGCGTGGCGCGTTGTTGCCGTAATTCAATATAGCGAACAATTTTCTATCAATTTATCAACAAGCACCTTTCTCGCTATCGGCGGTATTATTTTCATTGTTTTTGCGACCCACGACTACAGATATAAACGTCAAGCAATGTTTCAGAAAGAAATGGCGCAATTTCCCGCGAACAGCTTACGAATGTTGACAGCGAAGAACGCTTGTGTGTAAACGCTAACGAAACTGTATCGGAATTCAAACGGAGCATGCATGTAAACGCAGTCAAATTCTGCCGTCACTTTCTCGCTCCGGAGCTGTGTCAACGTAGTGTAAAACACATTCTTTCCAAATGATAAACGAACTGTTGCTTGAAAACGTTGACAAAAAATCGATCACAAATGCACCTGAATAGATAACTGACTGATCTCAAATGTATGTTTGTAAGGTCACACGCTGACCTTGACAGGATAGCTCGCTCACTGATCTCAAATGCAAACACTGATTTGTAACTGAATGAACAGGGTAAAACTGAACTAAAAATCCAATCTAGATGGATCAAATCAAAGATAGCGGAAAGTGAAGCCTTTCTTGTAGGTATGATCCAGGCCTCCACGCGGAAATTTGGTAGGTAAAATAGCAGCAATTATAATTTTACCTTTGAAATTTCCGCGCCAGTAGCCTGGATAATACCTACAAGAAAGACTTCATGATCCGCCATCTTTGCTTCACTGTGGGGAAAAGTCAAAGAGTGAGCGTTCTAGTCTTATTTCAGTTTACTTGAAAAGGCTGACACAAAATCAATTGCGATGGTAACTTCAGACCAACATACCTGAATCTCAACATCTTTCTCAACTCGCTCCTTCAAAGATGCAAAATCCTCATTCATAGTTTGTAACAACCATCTTAAACCTTAAAATTAGATATTAAACCTTTCAAACATAACAGTTACACGCATGTACATGTGTATCAAAATCCAACAACAGTATGTAAAAAAAACCACAAGCCTTGGCCAGCCTCGTACCCAGGCGCATTAATAGTGAAATCATGGTAAAATATATAACGTTGCATTCAGTTGTTATATGGAAGTCAGCTGAAAGAAGGCGAGCGCGCGGTGGTGCTTGGACTTGGCTATAACTATTCAAATGGAATACATGTTGAGGCCTTAATACAGTAAATGAACACTGTATCTGAGCTGGAGCAATATAATTTCTGGTGCCGGCTGTATCAAGCCCGTTTAGCTTAAACGGTGGATAAGTCAATTAAATAACACTCTTACATCTCTCTTGAACGAGTCAACTTGAATATTATGCACTGAATATGTAATTGTAAACATTATCTTTGTTTTAAGATTAAAAACATTTTGTTCGCTTGTTGAATAAATTGATAGACTTGCTTTCTATTTTGAGTTTAACCACCGTTTAATTGATACAACCGGCCCCTGGTATTTAGTTGCAAGTAACAATGTTAAAGCTTATTCTGGAGAATACTAATTTCTATTTTCTTGATTTTATAAAAAGTAAAACGACAGTAATCATTCAACTATGTACAATGTACGAGGCACGATACATGTTCATATATTCATGTTAACAGGCCTGTAAAAACCATAGGCGGCCCCAAATTGCGCGAGAAATTTTTCGGTAATTTGGCAATATAAAACCGGTTTTATTGGAGCAATTTGTTCCAGATGGTTGCAGTTGAATGCTCTGAAACAAAAGTAAAATGTCGCTTCGCACGAAAAATATCGCAGAATAACGTAAGCGGACGCGAATGTGGGTTAAGTTTAGTGGAGCGAAACCTACAGAAAAACATCCTGTAGTGCTGTAAGAGATAAGTCAGGGAAATGCATCAAAAGCATCCTGTTTTGTTATTATAAATATAGGTTAAAATCATTGTTGTAAGTTAGTTATGTATTAAGCCGCGTTTACACTACGTGCTTCGACCTGGCCTGGACCAGGCCTAGATGTGAACGTTATTTACCCAGCCTACACCAACCTTGACCTAGACTAGGCCACAAAATCCAGGACAACACGGTGAGCAGAAGGTAGCTTGGACCTGACCTAGCGCAAGATTTTGGTAATGCGAACAGGCTTTACCTATAGTCCTGACCAATTTTTAACTTGATATAGTATGATTTGTATAGGATTCATATAGTATTACCCCTTTTCGGGGTATTCTGGGTCTTTTTCCAAGTATTTTGTCATCTACTTTGACTATCCGATATCATCAACAAGGCGCACATATTACCTAGACTTGTCTTAGACCTGGTCCAGGTCAGGTCTAGGTCTGAAGTGTAAACGCGGGTTTAGAGCGTGAATTGTTGTAAAGAGTTGATTTCTGAATAAATGTAAAATCATACACAATCACAGAGTGTGCAATTTTGGACAAGCGTAGCGGAAAATCAGACTTGTTCGGAGATTTTCAACATCCCCCACCTAACGATTTCCGCAGTGCGCTGTCGTTCAGCCTCTTACAGACGAGCAAGTTTTCAATGACAATGTTGGATGTACAGTTGGGTGTACGAACAATTAAAACTTGTCACAAAAACTTGCTCGTCTGTAAGAGGCTTAAGTCGCCTACGGCAGTTAGTGAAACTATTTTCAGTTTTGGATTTAACCACCAATTAACTACCCTAGGCAGAGAATTGTGGTGTAAAGGTCGGCGCACACTAGAGCCATGTGCCAATTGCTATCGTGTGCGGGCGACTTTCCGGCGACTTTGGTCATTCGTGTCACTTACGGCAAATAACCGGCATGTTTGATGATTTTTGCCTCGTGTGCCGAAATCTTTCCGTGCGCTGCGAAATGAAAGCTATCTGCTTACGGATTGTCTTAACAGCGTATGCGTACTATATGGCCTCAGCCACCAACTCATTTTGCAGTTTGCACCGACATCTTGAATGCTTATTTTCCTATACTACGCATGCGCTGCTAAGACAATTCGTAAGCAGATAGCTTTTATTTTAAAATAGCCGAACACGGAAGGATTTCGGCACGCAAGTCAAAAATTATCAAACATGTTAGATAATTGCCGTAAGTGTTCCGAATGACCAAAGTCGCCCGCATACGAGGGAAACTGGCTTGCACGCCAATGGCCACGAATGATTTTTTGCTAAGCACATAGCTCTAGCGTGCGTCGACCTTAAGGTCTACCGTTTAACCATTTACAGTGGCGTATCCAGCCTGACGATTTTGTCCCTCTATACAAATTTCAAGTTTTTATATTCATATATATTTCACATTTATATATCATGGTCTGCAGTGTTTTGTTCTACAAATTCTAAAAACAAACCTTTCTTTAGCTGACTGTCAATCTTTCGACCCTCATTCAGTAAAGCTGTACACTGGAACTGAAGAAATTATTTCAGTTAATTCATTTTACAATTGGGATTTGAATATTAAGACAGGGGACACTTTCATAGAGTTATATTCCAGCATTAATATCAATAAGAGATGATCCTTACTGGACCTCTAAGAAGAACAGTTTAGAACTGATAAAGATATCTAGTATAAATAAAGTTAGTTAACTTTAAGTTTTCTCCTGTAGTAGCACTGGATCAATTCCTTACTTGACCTTTAGGAGGAACAGTTTAGAACTGATAGAGATATCCAGTATAAATAAAGTTAGTTAACTTTAACTTTTCTCCTGTAGTAACACTGGATCAATTCCTTACTGAACCTCTAGGAAGAACAGTTTGGAACTGATAGAGCTATCCAGTATAAATAAAGTTAGTTTAGTTTAAGTTTCCTCTCGAACTAACACTGGATCAATAAGAGATGATCCTTACTGGACCTCTAGGGAGGAGAACTGTTTAAAACTGATAGATCGATCCAGTATAAATAAAGTAAGTTTAGTTTAGGTTTCCTCCTGTAGTGACACTGGGTCAATAGGAGATGATCCTTACTGGACCTCTAGGAAGAACAGTTTAGAACTGATAGAGCTATCCAGTATAAATAAAGTTCGTTTAATTTAAAATTCATCTTGTGGTAACAACTACTGGATCAATAAGATATGAACATTAGTGGACCTAGCTCTACTAAAGGCCGGCGCACACTTAGCAAAAAGTCATTCGTGGCCATTGGCGTAAGGCAATTGCTCTCGTGTGCGGGCGACTTTTCCGGCGACTTTGCTCATTCGTGCCACTTACGGCAAATATCTAACATGTTTGATAATTTCTGCGTCGCGTGCCAAAATCTTTCCGTGTGCGGCAAAATAAAAGCTATCTGCTTATGGATTGTCTAAACAGTGCATGCGTAATATACGAAAGTAAACATCTAAGATAGCGGACAGATTGCAAAAACAAAATTATGGGTGAAAGTGAAGACGAAGAGGTGTTGTTATTTTTGTTGCTGTTGCGTCGGACTAGCCTAGAATTCCGCTTTATTAAACACCGTTGTCCAAGGGCTATTAATTATATCACCTGTTTGAGAAAGCTTACCATAGCTATTTCTGCAATAGCGCATGCCCGTTTCTCTAAAACCTGTAGAATTCACATCGTATAAACACCTGTATTCTGGCCAAAGATCAACCAGTTTTGTCTTTTAATATGGTCTCAGCCACCAAATTCGTTTTGCTTTGTTTGCACCGCTATCTTTGATGTTTACTTTCGTATATTACGCATGCGCTGTTAAGACAATTCATAAGCAGATAGCTTTCAGTTTGCCCACGAGATTCTGTTAACTGTGGTTTGCCGCACACGAAAAGATTTTGGCACACGATGCAGAAATTATCAAACATGCTAGATATTTGCCGTAAGTGGCACGAATGACCAAAGTCGCCTGAAAAGTCGCCCGCACATGAGAGCAACTGGCTTACGCCAATGGCCACGAATGATTTTTTGCTAAGCACATAGCTCTAGTGTGCGCCGGCCTTAAGGAAGAACAGTTTAGAACTGACAGAGCTATCCAGTATAAATAAGGTTAGTTTAGTTTAGGTTTCCTTCTGTATAGTAACACTGCATGGGTCAATAAAAGATGTTCCTCACTGGACCTCTAGGAAGAACAGTTTAGAACTGACAGAGCTATCCAGTATAAATAAAGTTAGTTTAGTTTAGGTTTCTGTAATCAATAAGACATGAACAGTAGAATTTAGTTACTTTACTTACAACTTTATAACGACTTTCACATTTCTTTGCCAACTGCTCTAACTCAAATTCCATATCAATATCTTGTTCAGACATTGCTCCATCAATGTCTTGTTTATTCGCAAACCTGTATATTAAAACATAAAGGTATTTTTATATAAATTATACTAACTCAGTATCGGATCAGGAATAGATTTACTGAGGGCCGTGGGGCAGGCCATACCTCTTTATCCTAGACTGGAGGGATGAACCTGGAGTGTAAATTTGGGTATTGGGTAATTATTAGGGAATTATGAAAGGCAATTAATTATATAGTATTAAATTATAATTATTTAAGTCATTAACTTAGGAGTTTAGAAACTTTAATCAATGCATGTCTCTGATAATCCAAGCAGCACCATCTCATTTTCAAAATATTTTCAAACAAACATATAAAAAAAAAACTATTAATACAGTAGGTATACTCATATACCCACTGGGGGCTAGCTCTGTGCACACCCCCTGGCCTCACAGGGGATGATCCACACCCCTGACAAAACCACCCCAGGTTTCTGACCGTGTTGGACAATTAAACCACAGTTAATAGAATATACATAATTTGGAGACCACATAGAACTACAATAGAACTCATTAACTATGATGAGGTAGATTCAAGCAAAAAATTGTTCCTTTATCATCACATGTCTGTTATTGTATTTTGCTAAGATAAACCAATAGCAATCTTATAATTAACATATTTTTCAAGTCAAGGTTGATGAGCTTTACAGCAAGACGAATGCCATTGGTAATTTTGGCTAAAATACAATAAACATGTGATGAGAAAGGAACCATTTTTGGCATAAACCTGGAAAATAACATAGTTAATGAGTTGTATTGTGCTTTTATTTAGTCTCTAAACCATGTATTATCTATTAACTGTGAACAAACCAACTATCATACCCAGGTAAGGTAAAAAGGTACAGAATTAAGTCATTCAAAATGGATAACTTCTATACTCACACAACAAAAGGTTTCCCAGAGAGTCTTGAGTCTGATAATGCTTCACGTAAAACTGTTCTGGAATCTGCTATTCTCTCACGGTCACTTGCATCAACAACATAAACAACGCCAAATATCTGAAAAAGAACACAATGTCATTTACATTCTTGTATGTTTGCTCCGTGACAGTCGATAAATAATTTAGCTTGTAGGTACACCACGTAAGTATTTAATAATGCAAAGCTTTCGGTCTGTTAACCTTGCACTGATGAAGGCCGAAGTTGATGGACCGAAAGCTTTGGAGTATTAATTAGTACTTATGTGATGTACCTCCAAGCTAAATTACTTACAATGTCATTTACTCAGCAGCTGTTGATCAAATTGAAATGACCTAGAATTGGACAGGGAAGAATACCAAAGCACTAAGAACCTCTGTGCTTGTATATGTGTATATGTACCTCCGCATAATAATCTTTCCATATTCCTCGGATACGAGGTCCACCACCAACATCATAAGCTGTCATGCAATTTAAAACTCAATAACTTGAACTCCACACTGGAAAACCCGATTGTTGGAACTGTCGACTCTTTGGGTTCTAAAAAAAGCCACAATGAATATATTTCGTTAACAACCATCCCACATTATAGACACAGTAGCAAGCTTATATGTTAAAAAGAGACACTGACAGATAGTTTTGTTAACTCATTAACTGACAGCTAGTATACTCTTCCACTGATGAGTAAAATCATCTGGTATTAGACAACTGAGTAAAATACTAAAGTAGGCCACATCTGGGTGCATTGCAAGCTAATGGGTTAACAAGAGACACTGACAGATAGTTTTGTTAACTCATTAACTGGCAGTACTCTCTCATTGATGAGCAAAATCATCTGACATTAGACAGAGTAAAATACAAATATACTGGCATCAATATCTGCCTATATCTTAAAACATGTCAAACTTTTCATCACAGTATGATTCAAACTCTCATCAGTAAGAAGATATTAATTTCATAAAAAGGCTCTAAATAATACCTCCTTTCATATCATTGATAATAGTTGATTTGCCAGCGTTATCAATCCCTAACATGAGAAGTTTGACATCTCTACAAAACAAATATTTTAAAAAATAATAACTGTCACAATTAAATACCACCTAAAACTAGATAGATCGTTGGTAAAGAAGGTAAATCGTATTCAATCGACTTTGATCAGCGAAAGAAAAACATTTTAATTCTCTAAACAAAGCAAAACGAACCAGTTTTGTCTCAAAATTTGTCATAAATCAATTGAAATTTGATTGTTTCATGAAATTATTTTAAATAATGCTTTTCAGTTGAGTGTAACCGCTCTGAATTACTCAGCAATCTACCGTACCATGAAGCTGTTTTCACGCACAGTAAAATGAGTGAATAAGACCGTAAGATATCCGAAATTTTTGCTTAAATCAGAGACGAAGCTAATGACAAATTATGCTCAAATAGAATGTAAATATAGCAGAATATACAAACCTCGAATCCCGCTTGTATATGCGAGAAAAACATTTCGAAATATAATTGAACATACTTCGGTGTCTAGCACGGTGTTAAGTAGCCTTTCTTTAGTAAAATCATCGTCGATTTAACGCACTCTTGCTCGATAAACCAGGGTCAAAACACAAGAGATTTGCTTTAGTTTTCGACATTGTGCTTGGAGCATTGAATGTTCCCCCGCCGGCCACGGGGTTCTTTTTGAATTTGATTAGCTGCCATGTCAACCACTGAGCTTGGGAAAGAACTGGAGTAAGGGACAGCGGGTCACTCTGCTATATAGAAATCTTGGAGGGGGTCATTAGTATATCATTTTCTCGATTTCTACACGACGTATCCCAAAACCACAAAACTATTGAAATAAGCCATAACAGTGCAATAGCTAAAGTTTGAATTTAAGCTTTGAGAAGCCAAGTTTGAATGGGTAATTACGTAATGATTCTGTACCCATGTTTTGAAATTCATTCCCACAGTGTTCTGGGAATCCAACCCAGAAGCCCAACACGCGTTTTCATCACTATCAACAAACACGTTTTAGTTTGGCCCCAAACATGGACACTGTTTTTTGATGCCAAAAGAAAGAGCGGGAAACCAGAGAAATATGATGAACCTTACCGGACCTCTAGGAACTGATAGAGCTATGCAGTATAAATAAAGTTCGTTTAGTTTAGGTTTCCTCCTGTAGTAACATTGGATCAATAAGAGATGAACCTTACTGGACCTCTAGGAAGAAAAGTTTAGAACTGAGAGAACTATCCAGTATTAATAAAGTTAGTTTAGTTTAGGTTTCCTCCTGTAGTAACACTGGATCAATAAAAGATGATCCTCACTGGACCTCTAGGAAGAACAGTTTAGAACTGATAGAGCTATCCAGTATAAATAAAGTTAGTTTAGTTTAGGTTTCCTCCTGTAGTAACACTGGATTAATAAGAGATGAACCTCACTGGACATCTAGGAAGAACAATTTAGAACTGATAGAACTATCCAGTAGAAATAAAGTTAGTTTAGTTTAGGTTTACTCCTGTAGTAACAATGGATCAATAAGAGATGATCCTTACTGGACCTCTAGGAAGAACAGTTTAGAACTGATAGAGCTATCCAATATAAATAAAGTTAATTTAGTTTAGGTTTCCTCTTGTAGTGCTACACTGCAATAAGAGATGAACTTTACTGGACCTCCAGAAAGAACAGTTTAGAGCTGATAGAGCTATCCAATAAAAATAAAGTTACTTTAGCTTAATTAATACACCAAATATAAGAGACACTGACAGATAGCTTTGTTAACTCATTTACTGGGAGTACTTTTCCACTAATGAGTAAAATACTTACAGTAAAATACTACAGTAGGCCACATCTATATGCATGTGTATTGCAAGCTAATGAGTTAACAAGAGACACTGACAGATAGTTTTGCTAACTTAATAATTGACAGTACTCTTCCACTGATGAGTATAAAATCATCTGGTGTTGGGTAAAATACTAAAGCCCAGCGCACACTGGAGGAAACTGAGATGAATTTCACTCATGACTGTTAACAGTTAGCTGCGCTGTGGCCTCAAGTGTGTGGTGTCGTATTCTGCGTTTTCTTACACGCCTGCTATGGGCGTCGGATATTCAAAAAGTAGAATAATTTTGTGCACAAGTGAACATTTCCTCACAGTGTGCACACGTCTTGAGCTATCGGCTCCGCAGTTGGAGCGAATGATACTCGCGTAAAATGAATTAAGAGTGGGTTCAAAACAGGGCGCTTATATAGTATATGTACTTAAAGTTAAGAAAAATTACATTCAAATACTTCTTAGCAGTCAACAAATCATTTAAGATTTAAAGGCACCGAAAAAATGAGAACATGGGTCACTCAGGACACTTTACCTCGTATAGACAGGGATAATTGTGCTAAAAATCCGCTAAAGCCTGCCGCACACACGAGGTATTAGATGAGCTAAAGACCATGCGAGGCATTGAGCTCGCCTGAAAACCATCCGCACACGTCAGAAACTTGCCTCTCCAGGTCAATTCCTCACGAAAAACTATCCGCACACGAGAGTAACTTGCCGTAAGCTAAAAGCGCCGCACGAGGTATTTAGCTCAGCTAATAGCCCTCGGCCTCGTGTGCAGCGGGCTTAATTTGTTTTCCAGTACTGATTCGGCAACAATTGAGTTAATATTTTGCGCCCACTTAGGTTGTAAAAATAATTTACAACATGAAAAGAACAAGTGCACACATTCGCTCTAACTGCTGAGCCGATATCTCAGGACGCGAGCACACTGTCAGGAAATCTTAACTCATGCACAAAATTTTTCAACATGTTGAATATCCGACGCGGATACCACACCTGCCAGAAAACGCAGAACACGACATCGCACACTTTTGGATTTCAACATCTCAGCTAACAGCCACGAGTGACCAGTAGCTCACATCTGCGTGCATTGAAAATTAATTGGTTAATGATCAAGCTACCAAACTATCTGTAAGTATCTCTTGTTAACCATTTAGCTTGTAATATTGCACCCAGGTGTGTCCTACTTTAGTATTTTACTGTAATACCAGATGATTTTACTCATCAGTGGAAGACTACTGTCAGTTGATGGTTAACCAGAGACACTGACAGATAGTTTCATTAACTTGTTAACTCGTTAACTAACTGACTTTACTCTTTAATTGATGAGTAAAATCATCTGGTATTACAGTAAAATACTAAAGTAGGTCACATGTAGGTGCATTGCAAGCTACCGGTTAACAAGAGACAATGACAGATAGTTATGTTAACTTTCAATATAGCCAGAGAGCAACGTGGCAGCGTCTTCAAACAACTTAGCATCAAATGTGCTACAACAACTGCTTAAATATACAAAATACTTCTCAACATTTCGATCTAAGGACCCTCGTCAGGAGAGTTGTTCTCCAACTCTCCTGACCAAGGACCTCAGGTGGAAACGTCGGGATGTGTTTTGTCTGTTTACGCAGTTGTTATATACCACATTTGATGCTAAGTTTTGTTAACTTATTAACTGACAGTACTCTTCCACTAATACATAAATTGATCGCGATTTGGAGTTGCATCTGGGTGAAATTTGAAAGCTAATCAGTTAATGAGTCACCAAAATATTTCAGTGTCTCTTGTTAACCCATTAGGTTGCAAATTGCACCCAGATGCGACCTACTTTAGTATTTTACTGTAATACCAGATGATTATACTCATCAGTTGAAGAGTACTGTCAGTTAATAGGTTAACAACAGACAAGGACAGATAGTTTTGTTAACTCGTTAACTGACAATTCTCTTCAATTGATGAATAAAATCACCTGGTATTACAGTAAAATACTAAAGTAGGACACATCTGGGTGCATTGCAAACTAATGGGTTAACAACAGACATGGACAGATAGTTTTGTTAACTCATTAACTGTCAATACTCATCTACTGTCTACTGATGAGTAAAATCATCTGGCATTAGAGTAATATACTAGTGTAGGTCACGTCTGGGTGCATTACAAGCTAATGGGTTAACAAGAGTCACTGACGGATAGTTTTGTTAACTAATTAACCGACAGTACTCTTGCACTAATGAGTAAAATAATCTCGATTTGGAGTAATGTTCTAAAGTAGCCCACATGCATCTGGGTGCATTGAAAGCTAATCGGTTAATGAATAACCAAACTATCTGTCAGTGTCTCTTGTTAACCCATTAGGTTGCAAAATGCACCCAGATGTGTCCTACTTTAGTATTTTACTGTAATACAAAATGATTTTACTCATCAGTGGAAGAGTACTGTCAGTTAGTAAGTTAACAAGAGACACTGACAGATAGTTTTGTTAACTCGTTAACTGACATTACTCTTCAATTGATGAGTAAAATCATCTGATGTAACAGTAAAATATTAATTAAAGTAGGTCACATCTGGGTGCATTGTAAGCTAGGTTAACAAGAGACACTGACAGATAGTTGCATTAACTGACATTACTCTTCAATTGATGAGTAAAATCATCTGACATTAGACAGAGTAAAATACTAATATACTGGTATGCATATCTGCCTATATTTTAAAACATGTCAAACTTTTCATCACAGTATGATTCAAACTCTCATCAGTAAGAAGATATTATTTTCGTAAAAAGGCTCTAAATAATATCTTAATACCTCCTTTCAAATTATTGATAGTAGTTGATTTACCAGCGTTATCAATGCCTAACATATGAAGTTTGAAATCTCCACACAATAACAGTTTTGTATCAAAATTTGTCGCAAATCTATACACAATTGAAATTCGATTCTTTCAAAATGATTTTCTGTGCTTTTAAGTCGAGTGTAAACGCTCTGAATTATTCAGCAATCTACCGTACCTTCAAGCAGTTTTCACGTACAGCAAAATGAGTAAACAAGACCGGAAATATGTCCAAAATTTTGGCTTAAATAAGGGACGAAGACTTGATAAATAATTCCTGAAATACAATGTAAATATAACACAATAATAATACAAACCTCGAATCCCGCTTGGATATGCGAGAAAAACATTTCCAAATGTAATGGAACATACTTCGGTGTCAAGCACGGTATAAAGTAGTCTTTCTTTAGTAAAATCATCGTCGATTTAACGCACTCTTGCTCGATAAACCAGGGTCAAAACACAAGAGATTTGTTTTCGTTTCGACATTGTGCTTGGAGCATAATATTTGAATGTTTCCCACTGAGCTATATAATAATTCCTCAGTTATAATATAGCTGAGTGATTTTTCCCCCACCGGCCACCGGTTCCTTTTGAATTTTGATTAGCTGCCATGGCAACTTTGGGAAAGAAACTGGAGTATTAAAGGGACGGGAGGTCACTAACTCACACTCAGCTATATACCGAAAGCTTTGCGCAGTATTGAATAGTTACGTGGTGTTCCTACAAGCTAAATTACTTCTATAGAAATCGTGGAAGGGTCATTTGTATATCATTTTATTTATCTCTACAGGGTGTTCCCCAAAACCACAAAACTATTGAAATCAGTCATAACAATACAATAGTCACAGTTTGAATTTGTGTTTTGAGAACGAGAATTTGAAACTTCCAAACAGAAATAGGTAATTACATAATGATTCTGTACCCATGTTTTGAAATCATTCCCACAGTGTTCTGGGAATTCAACCCAGAAGCCCAACACGAGTTTGCATCACTATCAACAAACACGTTTTAGTTTGGCCCCAAACATGGACACTGTTTTTTTATGCC